ATCAGTATTGGCCAATATGGCTTGGGAAAAATTGGCCATGTATTGTCCCAGAAATTCTCTATCAGTGCATCCCTAGTTGCAGCCCCCACCCACTCCAGGTCTAGTCCATGTGGGAGTAAAAGAGAAAGCCCTACTGTCCTCAGAATATTTTCAAGGATCTCAGTTGATTTTCACCTGAGAAGGAATAGTCCAGTCCCTGGTCTTAAAGCATGCTTAGCCTGGTTGGAGCAGTCCCAGGCTGGCAGGCTGACCTCCTGGGCCTTCTGCCAGCCGGGACTGCTCTGACCCAGCTCAGTGTGCTGCAGTTCCAGGTGCGTGTGTAAATGCAGTACCTAGGAGCAATTAACTTCATGTATAGATGCACTCTCTGGCCATACCCAGACCAGTGCGGCCATGTGGTATGGTGCTGCAGACCTGTCTGCAGTGCCACACACCATACATGCAGGTGTTCCTTGTGCTGCTATCTTGGGGGGGGGGGAGGTGGCTGGCTCCAGTAGATCCTGTGGTAGAGTTCCTTTGTGGAAAAAAAAATAGGGCAGTGCATGTGGTGGCAGCATGCATGTGCCACCCAAAACCAGAGCCTGGCTGGCCAGAGCCACTCTCCAGCTGCCAGCAGGTCCCAGCTGTAAGACCACCATGGCTGCAGCTTCCTTGGTCCCCAAAATCCCAGGTGAGGCTCCTAGGACACAGTTGCTGGCCACAGCCTCCCGTATCCCACCTGGGTTAACCTGCCAGACACCAGAGAGTGCATGGCACAGACATTCCCTGGGGACAAGAAGCAGCAACAAATGGTGTGCTGCTGCTTCTTATCCTCAGGGAAACAAAAGTCCACGCTCATGTGGACATGGCCTATGTGCCATTTATCATTCTTTGTCTCTTTTTCCAAGATGGCCTCTGCACTGTCTTTCTCTCAGGTGCCTCTCTAGCACCAAGAATAGTCTCTTCTAATGCTGCCCTGGAATCAAGTTGGTGTGTTTATTGCCCATTAGCCACTAATATAGCACTTAGTAACACAGGGCAGTTATGCACCTTATAGACGGACCAAAGTAGTTATATATGTGATGAATTAGTTTGGCTCACAAAATCTTGTGTGTGCATGCGTGTGTGTAAGTAAGTACTTTGGTTAGCCTATAATGGGCGGGCAAAATATGGCCCATGAGCTGGATCCAAACTGCCAGGCAATTTCATCCAACTCATGGGCACTCACCAGTTAATTGTACCCTGCCCAGCCTGCTGCACTTTGCTCCCACCCTCATGTGCAGGAAGGCCCCAGCCCCAAAGAACACGCACCGCTTCTGGGCAGGGCCGCTGCTGCCACTGTTGCAGCTGTTGGAAGACCTGCTTGGTTTCCCCAGCCTCCAGCGGCTCCTCCTCATATCCCTGCTTCAGCGCTTACTCCAGGCAACAGGTAGGGAAGCTGTGGCTGGGCAGAAGCATGGAGCTTGGGGCTGGGACTGGCAGGAGTGTGGAGCCTAGGGGCCACAGCCAGCAAGTGGTGGGAGCATGGAGCTCGGGTGGGCAGGGTGTGGTGTGTAGGGTTTGTGGGGTTTTAAGGAAGGTGGGGGGTGTAGAGACACTCCCACATCCCCCCCACCGTGGCCCAGAGCCCTCACCGCCAGTGGCAGCAGTAGGAGCCCTTAGGACACCAGTGGCAGCAGTAGGGAAGACCCTTAGGGCGCTTATGACCCATGCAGGCACAGCCGCCTAGTGGTGCGCAGCTCCAGCCAGTTCTGGGAGCTGCATGTGGTGACAAGGAGAGGAGCCAGGCTGGTCTGCTTCTATTGTGCAGGGCTCATGAGCAGCTCCTGGGACTTGTATGCCACTGTGGGGGAAGCCCTGTACAATGGAGCCAACTGCTTTCTCCACTCCCTGCTGCCATGTGCAGCTCCTGTGACTCCACCAGAAAGCAGGGAGCAGGGCTCCCTGCCACTTCCAGCAGAGTCTTAGCAGGTGCACATGGCAGCAGGTAGTGGGGACGGCAGCCGGCTCCATTGTGTGGGGCTTCTCCCCAATGGTGCGCAAATCCCAGGAGCTGCACATGAGCCCAATGCAATAGAGGCAGGCTGGCCTAGCTCTGCATCTTGCTCCTTGCTACCTCATACCCCCAACCCTCCCTCACAACCCACACACCTGCACCCATACCCTGCCCACATCCCTCCACAACCCTCCCACATATACACATATCCACCCTGCCCACACATACTGCCATACCTCCTCACAAGCCCAAGCCATACCTCCTCAACCATACCGCACACAGTCCCCAACACCCCCACACACACTATATAAGAGTAAGACTTTATTATTGAGCTGTTATGCAATCACTTCTATATATGCTATGCAAACACATACAAATCAGGACAAAAATAATTTTTGAAATAAAATATGTTATAGTACATGTTTGACTTTTAGCATATGATTTGTTTTTTTCCAGTTCCAAAATGCTAGCCTCCCCTCTCTGCCCGCCCCCACCCCCAAGGAGTACTTCTGGGAGGCAAGGGGAAGGACTTCTGGTGGCAAAGGTCAGGGTTTAGGAGATGGGACTTCTGGTCCCAAGATGGCGACCAGGGGACAGGGCACCTGTCAAAGGGCAGGGCTACTGTTGCAGCCCTCAACAGCTCACCAAAGCTCATAAAGTGGCCCTCCAGCTGAAATAATTACCTGCCCCTGATCTGTAAGGTGCAGATCTACCCTGCCTTCTACTTCAGACAGGCACAGCTGTCTACATCTCTCTGCTTAGGTGGAACTCCACAGCTCTGGTTGCACAATTAACCCCTTTTTTCCATTGTACAAAGTAGTCAGGGATACAGAGACATGTAACCTTATAACATGAGCACATTTAAATAGGAAATATTAAAACAAAACCATAATCTGTCACAGGATGTTTTGGCCATGTGAATTTTAAGTCCTTTTTAATATATTGGTCAATTTGTATAAATCTCCTTATTTCTGAGTACTATGAGTCTGTCAGAATGCTGACTCTTTTAATATAAAGCACTAGCAATATGAAAATAATAACTCTAACCATAATTCCAAAATGTTATATCTTATCAAAGGAAAAATAAATGCACAACTATCTTAAAATGCTACAAATATTTCCACACACAAAATATAAAACCTTCATAATCTTCATGAATATTAATAGTTTTAAAAGTAAAGCCCAAACAGATTAACTACTTTTATAATTTCATTTTTTAATTTGAAAAGCACTTAGGATTTATAGACAGTATAGAAGTGTTAGATTATATCATTTATTATTGCTTTTTGTTTTTAATACAGTGAGGCGTTTATAATCTTTTCTGGTGGACTGTCTTATGACAAAGCTTGCCGAAGACCAAGTTTAACCATCATGCACGGAAAAGCAATTACAGTGCTTGAAATGGATCATCCTATAGTTGAATTTTTAACTCTTTGTGAAACACCATACCCAAATGGTGAGTGTTTGAAGCAAAAATAGTACAAATTTATCAAGGAAGAGAGATTTCGTTATTAAAAAAGTAAATGCAGTGGCCAGATTTTGGTGTTCAGTCAGTGTATTAAATGAGTTGGGAATCTTAGTTGTCAACCAACACTTGTCTACATCACAGAAAACAGCATCAGAGCTGACAGCAGTTTGAATGTTTGTTTGCTGTTTCAGCAGAGAGATGAAGAATGGGTTACAGTGACTGAACTCTCTCTTATACTGTGTACTGTTCCCTCCAAACTGAAGTTGCAGCATAATGATGAATCAAAAACTTACTTTGCTATTGCTCAAAAATAAGTAGAGAAGTTAATTCTCATGGCTACAACTCTGGCACATTTCTTTAGGATTAAGTTCCTAGTTCAGTGAAGTATTTAAGCTTGTGCTTAAACCCATCACTTGTGCACAGTGCACCTAAACACAGTAATAACTGTATATTTAGTGGCATCTTAATTGAACAGAGTAGATTTGAAACAGTATTGCAACATTTACATAACTATTAAGGCTGTGTGAAGCTTCGGTGACTGATTCGATACAGAGGAGATTTGGCCCAATTTGGGGACCGAATCTCCAAATCCGAATTGAATTGGGAGACCAGTTAAAAGTTCTGAATCGATTCAAAACATCCAAATAGATTTGGAAAAGCTTCCGAAAAGATTTGGCCAATTCAGGGATTTGGCTATAGACTAAACAGGCAGCTGATAGCTGCCTCCATCTGATAAGACTGTTGCAGTTGGGAGAGGGGGGAGGGAAGGGG